TATTTGTAATAGGAGCAAATACAGTTCAGATATTTCTATATAATTTTGTTATTTAATAAAGTGTTCAAGTATATTAACTTTTGCTATAAATGTTTGTTGAAGTATCATATATTTTTAGTGTTGAATTTGGGAGATAGTGCTTGTGAATGATCCAGATTACTTTGAGTGAATTAGAAGCTTACATACAAGGAGACAAATTTTCGTTATTAAATATGAAACTGTCTGTTTATCCTGATCCCAGAATTGCTTTAAATGAAAATATTGCCAGTGCTAATATTTGAATATGAGAAAGTAGCTTTACAAATTTTGCTTATTAAAGACAAATGATATCCTAAAATTAAATAAGCGTACGCTTTCTTCAAATATCATTATCTTTGATTTAAATCAAAACGATAAGTAAAAATAGTGGTTGGTGATGTTATAGCATTTGCTATTGATGATGTTGATGCTAATGCTGATGCTGTTACAGTAATTCTTGTAAATTTTTTTTGTTATTGTTTATACAATAATAACTGTTGTTGGGGCTATTGTTGTTGTTGCTACAATAGTTTATTTCTCGTTTATATGGTTCCTTATCCATATAGATAAAGCTGCAATTGTTTCAATAATAAATTATGTTGTTCCAACGATAATTGTTCATTTTCTCTCTAATTCAAGTCCAAGATCATACTATATTAAAATTCTTGCTCAATGTCTTTTTCGTCATCTTTAGATCTTACTGCCATACTTTTTTGTCTTTGTTGTGAATATTAAAACAACTACTGTTTTTCTTGGAAAAATTGTGTTTGTAATTTAATTTAGGTGTCTTTGCCTCATGAACTTGACATTCTTGTTGCATTTCCTGCTTACAGCTAATTTCATAATTTATGGACCATTAATAACTTTTCAGTCACATTCAGTCGAAATTTATTAGTGGTTCATAAATTATGAAATTAGCTGTAAGACCAAGTTGCATCAAAATGATTTCTTGCAAATCTTCTGTAAACTCTTTTCTCGTAGAATCTTCAATGTTTGAATGTATTATGACAACTTATTGTAGGTATTTGAATCCAATCGGTCGGTTGGATTTTTATTTTCAAGCTGCATTGGGAATACTATTGACAAATTATTGAATATCAGGATATGTGACTTGCCACTGAAGTTTAGCAAATGCCTTGCCTTTTATTTGTACCATACTTCTTGTTGATTATTTCTTCTTTCTTTTATCCATTCAACAAGAGCAGTTTCTAAAGCAGGTTTATGTGGAAGAGAATCTTTATTTTAAAATATCCAGTCTCAAAGATCAATATTAAACTTGAGGCCTTTTCATGATATTAAAATACTGCTATTTTTCACGCGCCTTTATGATCATCATTTTGTTACATGGTACCGAATAAGACCAAGGGTCATAAGAGAATTTATAAAAACGATGAATTTAAAGATTCTTTTATTTTGATAATAAACCTAAAAGAAAAAATATATAAGATATTTTTATAAAAAGTTCAAACTACATTTTAATAGATATTAATAACAATTACTACCTATGAATTTTATTTGTATTTGTTATAGATAGATGGATGACATAAACTCTAAAGAATCTTAATTCAAATCTCGATTGAACGGCATTGACCGTCAGTAAGCTAATAGCGAACGAATGATTTGGCACGCCCAGCATTAAAATGTTATAAAAAACGCGGCTACCAATGACTTGGTATTAGGTGTTGGTGTATGAGATCAAGGGATTTTCGGTAAAAAATTAAAAAATTTCAACAAAATTTTATTTTAAAAAAAATATCTATATTACAAATTTAGAAAAATTAATAAATTCTAAGTGTTAAAACAACCATCATCCCAGCAGCAGCAATAAATAGCAAACGCAACATCAACAACAACTACAGTATTGCCACCACCACCTCCACCACCAGGACAACCACCACCAAGACCACTCTAAAATTATATTACAAATGTAAGGGAGCACGGTAGAAATCATCAGCTACTGCAAGAATTTCTTCCAAATTTTGTTGTGAAACGGATATCCAATTAGTGTCGTCCATAGACGCAAAGAGAAAAAGAAAATAAATTCGGATAAGTTGAGATTTCCAACAGATTACTTAGGCCTATATCACCAGAATATAAAGGAGACAAGCGTCATCCTTTTAATTTTCATCTAGAACCAAAATTTATTTTGGTTCTCCTTTCCTGGTTCCCCAATTTCGTTTTGAAAAGTAATAAAAGCCATAAGTTGGAAAAGGTCCTTAGAGATAAGTAAGGTTTGAGTTTGGATAATTATTATAATAGAATTGAACATTTTTTTAAGTTTGTTTAAATTGTAGTTATTTGAAAATAAAAAAATAAAAAAAAAAAAAAAAAATACAATTTTATATATTCTGGAAGTGCAAACACAAAGTAATGTTGTTTGACAAAATTTATGGCTTTGGAAACACAAGATTGATAAGATTGGAGATTGTATGTAACCAATAATATTTCTTTTATAATTATCGTACAATAAAAGTATTTGAACAATATCGGTATCGGTATCGGTATGGTTCTCCGAATTTTGTTTAAATACGCCAAAATAATCGTTTAAGCCACGAAACTTGTCTTTAATTATTTAATAAAATAAACTCCAATAACTTCTATAATATATCTTATAATAAATATACTGAAACCTGTTATTTTAACAAAACTGAGTATTTTTGATGTTCTTGAGTTGTCAAAGAGAAAACCGGTTACAACTCGTTGATATTTTATCAGCTAATCCAAGACTAGAAAGCGAAAATCTGTTGGTCTTCTATGGGTATAAATTAAAATTTAGACTTTTTTTTAATTACATTTCTTAAAAAATTATGATAATTAACTTATATGTCAATACTGGCAAAATAATATATAGTATTTTTATATTCGTTCTTTTTACATTCGTTAATCATTATTACTTTGTGCAATTAAATGGGATGATTATTTGTTTTGAAATATCAGGTAAAAAAAATTAATTATGTCAAACATAATAGAATTATTAAAAATAAAATTAAAATCAAAGATTTAACGAAAGCATTTTTTAAAATAGATCGAGCAAAAGTAGAAAATTTAGAACAAAAATCAGCAAATTTCATCTACGGAAAACCGAACAAAAGAAATGACCCGGCCAAACATACCAAGCGAAAGAAATTTATGTCATTAAAGAGATTTTAAAAGATAGTGGAGTTTTGGCGATATATATTGATGAAAGAGAATTATTTAATTTAGGAAAAATGTTTATAATACTTGCAGAACTTTATTCATATTTTAATATTAATATTGTTTTATTTTTAGTAAGAAAAAAGTTAATAGAATTTGGGGCCATAAATTAAGCAGTAATATACAAATTATAAGGATTGTTAAGGAGAATTTAAGGTAATATTTTTACTTTTGAATCAAAGGAATCAAAGAAATTTCATTAGAGATGCGAGCACTGCTATGATAAGGTGAAATGGTGTTGTCAAAAAAAATGTTTTATAATATTATCGGGAAATGCAGATGTTGCCTAAAGGTATAGAAGTAGAATTTGATGTAGCATTGCTTTTAGTTATAATTATCATAGTAATCTATATTAGTTGTATTATCTTTATTATATTTATCATATTTATTATAGTACAGAATATTTTAGAGGGTGTGAGTTTTTGTTTCTGACCAAAATAAAAAAAATTTATAACCTCTTATTTTCTTATCCTATTCACTACCCTCTAAATCATCATTTTTATAAATTCTCTAATAATAGAATCACTTTAGTCGTTATAATGTTTTGTAGTAGTTGAACTAAAAAAATTGAAAGGTTTGAACTTTAGAGTGCAGAGTAGGATTTAGATAAAGATAAAATAACACAAAAAAAATTTAAATCAGATCAAAAAATGTATATAGACAATTGCATATATACAAGTAACATCATTATGAAAGAGTCCTTCAAAAATTAATCTTGTCGTTTAAATAGAATGTCCACCAAGTTCAAAGAAACTTTCATTAAACAGTATACGGTTGAACAGCATTACTTTCTTTTTGTTAAGAGCGTTTTACTAAGGAGAACGATTATAAAGATTTGTTAAAACTATAACTTGGTAATTTAATTTTCAAATATTTCACAAAAGACGACAGTTCATACCCTTTATAGGAACAAAATAAGTTTAGTTCTAATCTTAAATTATCGGTTCTTATAAACGGGGGATAGCTAATATCATCACCTGGATTTGTGGGATCATAAAGATTAATTCATTCTTCTAATTATTTGGAAATCTATCTGGAATTCTTTCTTACTTATAATTAAAAAAAATATTATATATCTTCTTAAATCACCAGTATTACCATAGATATTATTGCAAAACTAATCTTTTTTCTCTATAAATTTTATAAAATTGATCTATATCTATCTATACTTGATCCGCATTTCTTCTCCAAGAAAATTTACCTCCTAATCTAAAGTTTTAACAATCCTCCAGCTATAAATAAATATATATAAAGTAAAAAACCCTTTGTTGACAACGAGCAATTAAACATCCTGCAAACTTTTTGAGTTGGTAGAAATGCGGAAGTGATGATGAAACAAAAAAGAAACAGATCTCTGTATCTATTGTATCATAATTTCGGTATTGGGAGCAAGAAGGTTGAAAACGGTTATAATAACGCTTGTTTAATATTTAAAGCATTCGAGATGAAGATATCGGAATGTAGCATTAATAGATACAATTGACACAATCATTATTAATTAGAATTAAATCAATAAATGAAAAATAAATGAAAAAAAAAAGTTCTACCAGATGACAGATGAATTATTGTGTCTTTTATTTTCAGCCATCCAAGAAGCCAATTTCTTTAATGACTGGAACACGTAATTTGAATTACGTGGAGGAACCGGAATTTTCCAGAGCTTTCACCGGTCAGTACATTTATGATAAGGTAAAGATAAAGATGATAACTAAACTCCATCCGATAATTAATTAATAAATAAATCTTCAAAATTTCTATCACGCTAATTTGATTATAAGCAATTCCATTTAACATTGTAAATTTTTTCTTATCGGAAAGTCCAAATCTTTGACATCCATTGATAATGTGTTAGTGAAAAATGACCCCTATGATATAATAATAATAAAAATAAAAGGAAAATAAATATATTTTTATTTACCATTCAGAGTTCCAATACTTTTACTTATAAAGTAAAATTCCAATCTGGTCTAAAGTTTACAACAGCATCTGAAACTGTCACTATCGTTAGAATTAACTCTCCTTAAAAATCAATCGCTTAAAATCTCCAATGCAGAAATTTCGCAACTTATTTGGATATATAACATGATCCGGGATAAAAATGATTGAAATAATATATCGTCTTAAGGATAGATATTTGCATTTTAATAAATCAATTTGAATTTAACAAATTACAAAAATTAACACCGGCTTAATAATGCCATTAAAATACAAATACGTTTGTCTAGTTGAGATTTTCAAAAATCATTTCTGTGATTGCTAAGCATCAACGAATCGTAGAAACTCCTTTCAGAACTCTAATTCGTACCATAAATTGGAAAGCCATTTCCCAAACCTTAAGTTTTCTTTCATCTCTCAAATCACAATCATCTTGTAGATAAATTTCGTGAAACGTTGTTAATTTAATATCTAGTTCCGATACACTAATTGAAATATCTTTAAACCTTCTGCGATTATTCTTCAATAATACAATTTGATTCTGTTTTCATATAATCAAAGTTCTCATGTTCTTCCACAATTACACCAAGTAATCCAGCATGAGCTTTCAAAGATCAGGTTCCAAAGCTTTTCATATGCACCTAGATTAGCCAATAAAATTGATAGACTACTAAAGCATATAGAACTTTCGTATGTAGCAACGGTAGCTGCGTGTACATAACAGAACAATGTCTTTTTATCTTTTTCTGGATCGACTGCAGGTAAGGTAAGATTGTAGTTAACATATTGAAGTTACATTACTTTTGAAAATTTAAATTCAAATATTCCTCGTCCTATGTAAGATTCTTCCAAGTCATAAAGATAAAGTTCAATATTCTATTGCGTTAAGAGATTGTATATAATTTTAATGAAGATTTGTTGAGATTATACACAATCTATGCCTCAAGCATTTGGAGACTGTCCACACTATGTCCCATATTTAATTCTCAATGTTCTAGGACCATGTCCAACAATGACCATGACAACATTGTCTTAACAAAAAATTAGGTATTGAGACAGCTTGTCCTAATACGCCAATTTATTTTTTAGATTTGAAATTAATTGTTTATCAAATCAAGGATGATATAATCGTATTTTAGTAATAATTACAGGTATTTCAAAAACGTCTTGGAAGTACAGCTCCAGATACAGATCCTATAGTCAAAATTCACTACTTTCGTATGATCTATTTGTTATCTAAATGAACTTTTAAAGATGTCTTTATTATAGTGTAGTGAATTAGAATTTCCGCTGTTTTCCATTAGTTGGTACGTAAGAAGAGTTGTTGTTTCCATTCGTTGTTACATTTCTCCAAGACATTCTGTTAGTTATCAGAAAAATCAGTTGATCAATGAGAATCTAATACTTTTTTAACTTTTTAATATCTGATTTTCGAGTTCTTGGGGAATACTATTATGCATTCTGCTTATAATACTTCCAACAACATCTTACGAATCTTCATTTTCTGAAGTGAAACTTTCGGCTAATCGAAATATCTGACTGAATAAACGTAAGAGTTGGTTTCATTATTCTAGCAACATAGAAAAATAACAACAAATGATCTACAAGTCTACTTCGACTGAAACACCTCCTTTAATAGGATCACTCAAGAAAGGTTGCAAATGATTAAATAAAATAGAAACTAAAATTTTGATCAATTTCAATCTTGTCAAAGTAAATCGCTGAACCTTATGAACTAAATGTTAAAGTTGTATACCGTAAACGAGCGATTAGTCTCTGGTCCTTCATCAATAGATCTAATAAGGAGGCATAATGCAGTTATAAGCATTCTCAATATATCTACGAACCTTGATGATTATAAAAAGGTTGTAAGGGTTGATACATAAGAAAATCAGGTTTTAATCATATGATTTATATAGTTCCACAGCATGATTTTCGAACGTACTAACCCAATAATGTTATCACTAACCTCTTTGACCGTCAATGGTTATTACTATTGTTGTCCGATTCCGTTTTAGCGAATCATGTTAGAATATTAAATTAAATAAATAATAGAGTTTCCAAGCTTTCGTTTTTAGCATTTTTGCGCTCTTTTATCATAAACTCTTCATATGATCTCGAGTTTTACCATGAATGCAGCATTGATACAGGGCCGTGATCTTCAAAGTGCGTTTAAAATTTTCTTTTTTCGAATCAAAATAAAATTATTATTCAAAATTTAATACTTTAATCTAATAAAATGTCAACTCATTCTTTAAACTATATATTATCATCTTCGCTTACATCCTGTGCTCGTCGAAGATCACGTTCCAGAAACTGTTCTTTATTAGTAGTTGTTCCATCAACAAAAAAATGACAGCCTAACCTTGAACCACTACTGCAGAACTACAGACCCAACAGTGAGAACATGAGAAATTGTTTCATAACGAACATAATTAATTCTATTATCTTCATCATCCGACATTTTGCTTGGAAAAAATTTAAAAAGTAAAAAAGGTTTTAGTAAAAATCCAACAAAATAAATAGTAACATACTTTTCGTTATATAAAGATATTGTCTTGTATATACATAACGTGTAGAAAGATTTAATTAATTAATGTTAGATTAACGACTAAGTTATAAATAAATCAATACTTGCATAATGATCCTTTACCTGTTATTCGATGAGTTAACAACTTTTAATGCTCGTTAACATCTCTACTAACCCACTTTTTATTTTTCCGTGGTGAAAAAACCTCCCTTTCAAATATATTAAATACAATATTGGTGGTATGAATGAATAATTAAATGTGTATTTCTGATCGTTACAGAATTTATACAGACTTAACTCCTTTGGCTGAAAGTTCTCAATAATTTTATGATCGAAAAAATTTACCCAATTTCAAATTATGTAAACAGCTGACTAAACCCTGGGATACAAGAATATTTGCCAAAATCATTAAAAAATGCTGGTATTTTTTCAAACTTTAGTATTGTACTCCCAGTCAATATTAAAAAAATACTTATTTTAGTTAAACGCGTAAAAACGCGTGGATAATCATTTGATAATCCATTGAGATCAAAGTCCGTCGATCCGATCTCAGCCCTTAAACTGAGATAGTTAGATTTCTAAAAAGGATCATTTGTGTGACTCGTGTGATGCAAAAATATAAAAAAAATATATATGCAAAAATTTTTTTATATAGTAAAACAGAGGAATTATTTATTTATTGAATGCTATCTATCCAATATAATTTAATGTCACGTGAATAATGCTCAGCCTAAATTATTGCAAATGCTCTTAGAATTTTATATGTAACTTTACATTAATAGGTGAACCAGGTTGTGATGAGATTTCAATGCATCCAAATAAAAATGAAACAAATGTGATGTCACTGACATCCTACTTCAAATTCCATGCAACTTTTTATTTCGCCTTTTACGAACTGTTTTATACTTTTCGGATCAATTTTTAACCATGTTCAAAAAGAGTCTGATACATGTTATCGATGTGGAAAAAGTGGAGCTCATATTCGCAGCAGGAATGGAATATGTGTGAAATTTAAAGATGTAATTTTTTCTTTCTTGTAAGATCATCAGTAAATATAAAAAATTATCTAAACCATTCATTTTAAAAATACATTTTACTAGATTCATAAAATAAATAATAATAATCAAACGAAAAGCTTGATTTTAAAAATACAATATAAAAACAAAAACCTTCAAAAAAACATTAAATTAGAAACAAATTTAAGATTAAACATAATTTAAATCGAGAACATCATACGTTTCTCTAATATCATCTAATTTTAAAAAGCAAACAAAAATAAAAATTTGGCGAAAAGGATATGATTTATCATCCTACTACTGCGTATTAAGTCTGTTGTCAACTTGCGGTAAATTTGAGATACTATTAAATTCATACCTTTGATTTCTTATCAAAGACCTTTTACTGATATAAAATAAATAATTAAATTACATTTTATGTATCTCAAAGAACTTGCTTTTTTTTAAAAAAAACAACAACCGGTAAATAACAAATTGAATCTGTTTTTTTTCACGGCCAGTATGATCTTCTCATAATGCATCAACAATTTTCATTAAAAAATACTAAAATCAAGTCAAATTGAAACATCTTACGGCAAAAACTTGAAGCATTTATCTAGTACTAATAATAATCGAAATCCTCGAAATCCTATCATTTTTACGAGATAAAAATTAAACAAAAATCGGATGCTTGGAGACAATTACAAAAAGTGTTCGAAATTCCACCATTCAACATTTCCTATTTTTTACCAGGTTTTAAAACGCGAGCAATCTCTGAAAAAAGATTTTCACACTGAAAATCCGATAATTCGGATCTATCCACGAAATCGTGGATTAAATCAAATGTTGAATTGTCGAACGGGATTCCACACAGATAATCACATTTAAGAAAACCAGTATTTTGGTGATGTAATTCATGACTGGGGAATTCCGATAAATTGTCTAGCCCTATGTAAATATTTGTGGAATATTTTTTGGCCGTTTCCAGCAGCCAAGTTCCCGTTCCGCATCCAATCGTCAGGATCCTTAGTTTTCCCGATTTTAAAAGTCGTTTAACTGAGGAAGGAAATTCGTCGTTGTTTCTGCTGCTGCTGCTGGCGGTGATGATGGTGGTGGTAGTGGTGGAGATGGTGTAGGTGGTAATGGAAGCTTTCGGTTTCTCGAAAAGCTTTGAAAGTATTTTTTTAAAAGATGAAGTTTGCTGTTCCATAATGTAAGTAATCATTTTTTTTTTTTTTTTTTTTTATAATAATAATATGTATTCAAGGTAAAAAAAAAAAAGAGGTAGGGAAGATAAAAATAAAATCCAAGTCGGGAGGGAATACGTGGGTTTTTTATACCTTAGTTTCGAATATTTGATGCGAATAACTTTAACACGATGCATGTAACAAAATGAAGATCTCCAATGGAAAACATGGCACCTACTACCAGGATTTTGTTCTCGATTTATCAAGTATATAATTTCGTAATTTAAAACTCAAAGCTCATTGGTTCTCTGTAGTATCGGCGATTATTATACCTTCCTCTTAAACAGGCACGACAATAAAATCCGTTAATAAAAACGTAATATTTACGCACTTGATACGGTATATCAAAGAGAAAATAATAATAACAATCAATTTTCTATTATTTTTGCTTAAACAAGGAATGAAATGAATCCATAAAACAAGCTAATTCCGTTAATTCCGTGTATAATGATATATAAATCTAAAGGTTATCGTCGAAAAAAGTACGTGTGCCGGAAGATTTCCGTATAAGTAATAAACCCTCTTCGAATAATTACATTAGGGATGTGTAAGTCCAGTCCGGTCCGTCCGCGGTCCTGAAAACCGGTCCTTAAAACTGTGGACGGACCAGACC